AGCCTTGGCTGATCAATGGTTCTCTATCTTTGATGTTTCTATCTCTCTCTTCTTCCTCTCTGAAATCAATAAAAATATATTTAAAAAAACAAATAGGGTCACATTCCAGGTCTGGGGGTCCGGGCTTCAGCATGGCTACCCACAACAGGAGGAGCAGCCCCAGGACTCCGCCAGCAGGCTGACTGCCTTTCCCCCTTTAATGGAGGGAGAGGGAGAGGGAGAGGGGGAGGGGGGGCAGGAGGAGGGGGAGAAGGAGAGAGAGAGGGAGAGGGGGAGAGGGACAGGGAGGGGGAAGGGGGAAGGGAGAGGGAGAGGGGGAGGGGGAGGGAGAGGGAGAGGGAGAGGGAGAGGGGGAGAGGGGGAGAGAGAGATGGATTTGGTGCTCCCCTTATCTGTTTATGCATTGATTGATTCTTACATGTGCTCTGACTGGGGATCGAACCCACAACCTTGGTGCATGGGGAGGGCACTCACCAGCTGAGCTCTTCGGCCAGAGCAAGGCTGCCTTCTCTGCACCCAGCTGGTGTCTGGGCAGCCCGGGCAGGTGGCGGCCATCCTCTGGTCCGGAGGCTGGAGGGGCCCCTGGTGGTGGCAGCCTGTCCCCCCCCAATCCTGGTGGAGGGACCCCTCCCCCGGCTGCCGGCCCCTCCCCGCTGCCTCTGACACCAGGTGGATCACAGTAAAGAACCGCTCTGGGCGGGGCCCTGGCAGAGGAGCTGTCCCCAGTGTGGGAGCCGGCTGCACCCCAGGAGCACATGACTTGTCCCGCCCCACCTCACCCCCTGGGGGGCAGGCGCGGTGCCACCCCTGTCCATCAGAGGATGAGAGGCGCCTGGTGGCCGGCACTCTGCTGAGCCCCTCCCCGGTGTCGCCTGACCAGCGGGAGGACCTTCCGGCAGCTCGGGGAGCCCCGGGCCTCACCACCAGGGGGCAGAGGTGCCCCTCAGAGCGGGCAGTGCCGGGTGGGCAGGGCTGAAGTCGCTGTTGGCAGGTGTGAGAGGGCTGGGGACAGGCTCTTGGGCTCAGCTTGCTGCCTCGAGCTTCGGCACTGACTCTGACTCTGACCCCCCGAGCTCGGTTTCTCTGCCTTACCCTGCCTGGCAGCGCCTCGCTCTGCCCTCCTCCCACCCCACCCCACCTCGCACACACAGGCTGGGGGTATGCAGCTGGTGAAGGCGGGCACCTGCAGGCCCCGGCCCTGGGCTCTAGCTGCCCGCCTGTAAGACGCAGATCGGAGGGTGGTACCGGCTCAGGGTCCGCAGAGCCCAGGGCCCCTGCGATGCCCCGGCCCCGGGGACCCTGATCCCCGGTTCCCGCGGGAGCCAGGCCGTCCGGCCCCGCAGGTCCCAGCACTGTGAGGGGAAACCTCCGGGCCGGGCCGCAGTGGGGTCACAGCCACCAGGCACTGGGGTCGCCATCTCAGCCGCCCGTCCGGGGGCACACGTGGCCTTGGACGGCTTCCAGGTTCTCTTTGCCCCTCAGACCCCCCCATGGCAGCTGATGGTGTGGCAGGAGTCTAGCTCTGGAGCTCACCCATCTTACAGGTGGGCAAACTGAGGCCTAGCAGTCACCTGACCTGACCCAAGTCTGGCCGTCTAATGAGGGCTCCCTCTCCCTCAGGACCAGCCCTGGGGACGGGGGTCCTCCTTGAGGACCAGGCCCTGTGCCTGCTCCTGACCCCTGTGGCAGGGACGTAGTCCTCAGGCAGCTTTGGGGGCGCATGAGTGGTCCCCACCCCCCGGCCTCCCTTTCCTTTAAGAGGGCGCTTCCCTTCCTGGAGCCTCAGGCACCGAGGGGCTTGCCCTGGGCCCCCTCCATATAGCTGTTCGGTCCCCACCCTCACCAGGCCCCGGAGGTGAGCAGCTGCCTGCCTGCCTGCGGGGGCAGCGAGACCGTCCCGTGGGGCCTGGGCCCGAGGCCCGGTCATCTGACGTCCGAGAAGCCAGAGTCAGGGCTTCCTTCCAGCCTCTGGCCGTGAAGCCTGCGGCCGGCTCTGGGTTCCGGCCCCCTCCCCCACACTGCAGGCCCCTCCCCCACACTGCAGGCCCCTCCCCCGCTGCGGCCCCTCCCCCTCACTGCAGGCCCCTCCCCTGCTGCAGGCCCCCCCCCCCACACTGCAGGCCCCTCCCCTGCTGCAGGCCCCTCCCCCACACTGCAGGCCCCTCCCCCGCTGCGGCCCCTCCCCCACACTGCAGGCCCCTCCCCTGCTGCAGGCCCCTCCCCCACACTGCAGGCCCCTCCCCGCACTGCAGGCCCCTCCCCACACTGTGGGCACCGCCCCCCCAGGCTGCGGGCTCCTCCCCCTGCTGCCGGCCCCTCCCCCGCACTGCGGGCACCGCCCCCCACACTGCAGGCCCCTCCCCACACTGCGGGCCCTCCCCCGCTGCGGGCCCCTCCCCACACTGCGGGCACCGCCCCCCCAGGCTGCGGGCCCCTCCCCCCGCTGAGGGCGGTGCAGGACGCGTCAGGGGCCAGTCAGGGGCTGGACGTGGGCCCCGGGTCCCAGGCCCGCTCTGGGGTTTGTGCTGGCTTTGTAGCTCTGGCCTCCCCCCAGACGCTGTGGCCCCGGGGGCCGGCTGTTCCCCTGGGCTGTCAGCCCCCCGCCCCCACCGTGCCCCTCTGCCTGTCACAGACGCACCCTGAGTCCCTGCTGCCCCCAGCCCTGGGCTGTGGGTGTGACTGCTGGGCCTGGGGTCACAGCTCATTCCTTAGCTCTGACTGTAGTTGCTTTTAACCCTGGGCCCTTCCTCCCTCTGGAATTTCCTATGGCCACCTCCCCCAGACCCTCTGCAGTCCCACCCCCTCCCCCCAGGGCCCCCTTCCCAGGCTCCCTCCCCCGCTCCTGCTCCCACGGTCCCTGACTCCTTATCTGGGCAGGCCAGCCAGCAGGCCAGTGGGCGCCCTCCCATCAGTGGCTGATGGAAGCCAGAGCCTGCCTGCCTCTCCCCAGGACCCGCCTCCAGCTCAGGAAAGCCTCTCTCCACCCCCATCCTCACCCCGGCCCACCCGATTGGCTCTCTGCCCCCTTCTGTCTCCTCTGTCCAGGGGGGCACCTTCAGGGATCTGCACCAACCTGGTCTCATCCCTCCCTCCGTGAGACAGGTGTTTATCCAGCCATTCAACCTATCCTGCGTGCCTACTGTGTGCTTACTGTGGGCCTACTGCAGACCTACTGTGTGCCTACTGCGGGCCTACTGCATGGGGGCGCCGGGGTGTAGAAGTCACAGTGTGGCTTACGGCGTAGGATGAAAAGCCTTGAGAGACCTGAGGGCAACCTGAGCCTCCTCCAGGGGAGGGCAATGAGCTGAGGGGAGAGGAGGCAGCCTGGGGCTGGGGCGAGGGCGCAGGCGGGAGGCCCTCTCCAGGCTGCAGGCTCTGGGCCTGGTCACCAGGCGATGGGAACCCACCGGGGTGCCCAGCCAGGACCCTCTCCGATCACCGTGGGGCCTGGGGGGTGGGGCAGAGTGTCTGTCATCCTGGCCGGATTACAGCAGCGCCGCCTGCAGAGGTGATGGTGGAGGCGGAGGGAGCAGCATCGCAGACACTGCCAAAGGGGTGAGAAGCCGCCTGAGTGAGTGCCGGGGTGAAAGGGTGAAGGTGAGAGGTCACGGCCTCAGCCCTGGGGCGGCAGCGCTGGGGGCAGTCCACGCCCGGATTCTGGCTCCGAGCCCAGCTTGTCAGCGGTGACTGCCTCCCTAGAGGAGGGCCATGGCTGGCGCGTAGTAGGCCCTCGGGAAGCGCGGTCTGACCCGAACCGGACAGCGTCCTCCCACAAGGCTCCTCCTCGCCTCGAGGGGCTCTCCTGGCTCCGGGAGCCACAAGAGAAGCCGCTCAGCCTCCGGCCCCTGCCTCCTCCACGCCGAGGTCCAGGCTCCCGTCTGAGTGGGAGCCATGTGGCCCTGCACCGCGCACCCCGAGGTGGCTCAGCCCACCCGTGGAGCCTCCCTCCAGCAGCCGGAGCTCTGCTCCCACCATCTCGGGTGGGGCCAGAGGCACGCGCTTTGGCATCGGGGACCCCGTGGCCTCTGGGCCTGCGTCCCTCTCTGTACAACATGGGGGGGGGGGGGGGGGCTTTTCGCATCCTTCTCATGTGAGAGTGGGACCAGGCCCTCTCCCCGCTGACTCACACGGGAGCGGTCAGGGCTCTGTGGGCACCGGGACCCGCTCCGCTCAGCGCAGCTCCAGGAGGGGCCAGCAGGGCGGGCAGGGCGGGCAGGCCGCACTGCTGTCCTGGCCCCTGAAGATGGGGGCCGGGCAGGGGGGCGAACCTGTGGGAACCCCAGAAGCTGGGGGTGGGGTGGTCTGTGCCGTATGGGCAGGAGGCCTGGTGAGGCCCAGCTTGGACATTTGTTGGCTGTGTGACACGGGGCACGTTATTTCACCGTCGGAGCCTCAGTCTCCTCAACTGGGCAATGGGACATCCCTACTCCCAGAGGGAGACTGATGGGGTCTCCAGGGACCTGGGGAGGGACAGGGGCTGTAGCAACAGCTTTCCATGACTGTCCCCTGGGAAAGCCACTGCTGACCCTCCAAACCCCCAATCTAGCCACCCCTCCAGGCCATAGGAGGCCGGCAGGGGAGCCAGGCGGCGGGTCCTGGCCTGAGGCACCCCAGGGGCTGAAGGCTCTGTCTGTGAGCACAGCCTTTGTGGGAAGGGCAGGGAAGAGGGTTGACCCTGCGGAGTGGGGAGTTCTGGGGGTCAGGAGTCGCTGAGCATCCTGTGGACGTGTCCGCAGGGGCGCGGCGGGGCGGGGCGGGGCGGGGCTGGTTGATTCCTACCGTGCAAGCTGGTTTGCTGCGGGCCTGTGGGGCCTTCGGAGGAGCGGAGCGGTCCCGCAGACCAGGATGGGGCTGAGCTGGGGTTTATTGACGGAGGCTCGGGCTTTGCCCGCAGCTCGAGGCCCCGCCCTCTCACCCCGCTCCGCGCCGGGATCTGACCCCGCCCCTCCGCCCCGGCCCCGCCCCGGGATCTGGCCCCGCCCCGCCGCTGGCCCCGCCCTCCACGGCCCCGCCCCCGGCCTCTGTTTGCGCCGGGTCCGCGCTGCCCGCCGCGGGGCTCCGGGCTCCCGCCACCACCGCCCGGAGCAATGATTAACCCGGAGGGCCGGCCGGCGCCGGGCCCGGGGCGGAGGCGTGGGGCCGGGGCGGGACCCCGCGGGGCCGGTCGGCTTCCTGCTCGCTCCCAAGTTTCCTCGTAGGCGCGGCGCCGGCCGGGCCGCGGCACCGTGTGGCGCGTGGCGCAGGGCGCGGCGCCGGACGCGCGTGGGCGCGGCGCGGGCCGCGGGTCACGATGCGGACTCTCCGCAGGTTGAAGTTCATGAGTTCGCCCAGCCTCAGTGACCTGGGCAAGAGGGAGCCGGCCGCCGCCGCCGCGGACGAGCGGGGCACCCAGCAGCGCCGGGCCTGTGCCAACGCCACCTGGAACAGGTAAGCGCCCGCCCTCCGGCCCCGGGCCCGGGGCCGGCCCCAGAGCCTGGAGCCCCGGCCCGGAGCCTCAGTGCCGGGGCCAGCGCCCGCCGCGGGGCCGCCGGGCCGCCGGGCGGGGAGGGCGCGCCCCCGGCCGGGGCTGTGGGCGCCGGGGCTCCGCTCAGTTTGCAGGAACTCCTGCGCCGCGGTGCGGGGCGGACCGGGAAGTTCAGTGCAACGTGTTCCCGGACCCGGACCCGGACCCGCCGCCCCGGAGCGCCCGGCGGGGATCGCGGTGGCGGGTGGGCGGCCCCGTGCCCGCCTCCCCCCGGGGTCTCCCCGCGGCTCCGCGCGGGGCCCGGGCGGCCCGGAGCTGGGGCGGCAGGAAGTCTCTCCCGTCCCGCCCGGGAGCGCGGGCCGGGGCGCAGCGGGCGGGCTGCCGCCGCTTCCTGTCTGCGCGCCGATCGGGGCGGGCGGCTTCCCCGGAGCGGCCAGGCCTCCCAGCTGCCGGCCGCCGGGTGCGGCCGCTGCCCGCATTCCTGCGACCCCTCCCCCCGCCCGCCCGGCCGGGACGGGGAGCCCTCCGCCCGCCGTGTGCGCGGCCGGGCTGGGGTCCGGGAGGCGGGGTTCCCAGCGGGGTGCCTGTCTGCCACGGCCTCTGACACAGACACTGTCACCGAGAGGAAAGGGGGCCCGCGGAGGCTGCCAGGGGGCTGAGGCCGACCCACCCCACGCGCCTCCGGCCGGGCCGGGCCGGGCCAGGCTTGGACCTTGCCCTGTGGGTAGGCAGCCGCTCCACCCAGACTCCTTGTCTTCTGCCCCCGCCAAGCTGCAAACGGCTTGAGGGCGGGAAGTGTCTGCCTCAGTTTCCCCATCTGTCCCCGGCATGCACATCCTCCTCACAGGCCCCACGTGGAGACAGTGGAAGGACTCTGGTTGGGGAATCTCACTGACCCGGCGGCTGCACGCTGTCCCCCAGAATCGGGGGACGGACAGCGCCCCCTCCGTGTCTCTGCTTGGGGGACCAGAGGGAGCCGGCAGCCTTAGTTAGAGCCCAGCTGCCCCTTCCTGCTCTGCGGCCTTGAGAAGTCACTTCTCTGGTCCTCAGCGTCCTTACCCATAACATGGTAGGTCCCCTGTCACCCAGCTCAGCCCAGACTCCTGTCGGGTGCCTGCAGGGTTGGGGTTTGGGGGGGGGTTCCTCGGGAACCTGATGGCTCCCTTAATGGCAGGCCCTGCCCGGTGTCCCTGCAGAGGTGGGCACCCTGCGGCCAGCGCTGGTCTCCGGAGAGGTCGCCTGGGTCCCTTGAGAGTCACTCCATCTGTCCCTGGGCCTGGCGGCTGCTGAGAAACAGGTCCCCGTCCCCCTCCCCCTCCCCCCCACACACACACAGCCAGGCCCCTGAGTGACCGGCGGGGTGGGCTCTGGCCTCCCATGGTCCCAGGATGGCTGCAGCGGCCCGCCTTGCTGAGCTGACCCCATTGAGTCCGGATGCACCCCTTTACCTGTGTGGCCACATTCGTGCCCCGGAGACACCGACGGGGGGACCTAAACAACCAGCTTCTTCTCGGGGTTCTGGGCCCGTAGGTCCGCCCTGCCGGCCAGCTCCATCTGTGACTGGCCCCACACCCCTCTGGCTCCGCCTCCGTCTGTGGGGATGGAGTCCGTGCCCTGGCCCAGCCACTCATCCGCCCGCTCACTCCCTCCTCCCTCGCTCCTCACCGGCACTGGGTGCACAGGGTGCCGTCCGCCGGCAAGGGATGCAGGTCTGCTTAGCGCTGGGAAGAGGCCCACGTGCATTCCTCCCCATCCGTGTGTGGGACACGCCTGAGGACGGGGTGCCAGGCGGGCCCCCCCTTGGCCCCCCCTTCAGACCATCCTCTAGAGCTGTGGGGAGTGGTTTCCCCGAACCCGCAGCTGCTTGGTGGGCCGGGTCTCCTGGTGCCCAGCCCGGTGCTGGAGCCACCGAGGGGCTGGCCAGGAGGTTAGAAGGAGCCTGCCGCTCCCACCTGGCGTCCCATATGCCCCCCCCAAGGTCAGGACCCAGGCGTGTGGGGGCCTCCAGCGCCATGAAGGTCGTGCTCTGAGATGAGGATGGAGGGAGCTCCCCGACCCCAACACTGGTCCCCCACACCTGCGTTTGGCGCTGAGGGCGCTAACCATTGTGATACCCTGCTCCTTGCCAGGCCTGGATCTGCCCCAGGGCTAGGGTTTGGAGAGCCCAGCACCCGCCCCACCTCAATGTTAGCGTGGAGGCGCCGAGCCAGGCAGGAGCAGGGGAGCGTGTGAGCCCATGGGTGGGGGTGACACTGGTCACTCCCCAGAGACCCGCCTCCAAGGCGGGGCGATTGTCTTCAGCGGGCAGGGCCTTGGGTCTGCACCCAGGTGTGAGCGCGTGTCCCACGGAGGCTCCCACAGAGGGTCCGGAGGCTGGAGCTGCCTCCCCCCCCCCCATCCTGGTGCCCCGGAGCCTCACCAGGGTCTGCCCTGTGCCCTGTGCCCGTCAGTGCTCGGGAGGAGGCTGGAAGGTGGCCCTGTCTCTTGCGGTACCGGGGGGAGGGGGGGGGATGGCAGGCCCTCTGAGGGATGCCCAGGAGGACATGAGGGGAGCCAGAGGGAGGCCGGTGGGGGCGGGGGGTGGCAGGCCCTCTGAGGGATGCCCAGGAGGACATGAGGGCAGCCGCTGGAGGGAGGCCGGTGGGGGGGGGGCTCCTGGAGGCTCGGAGAGGAGGTTGCCTGCGGGGCCCTTGGCCCTGCCCTGCTGGGCCCGCCCTCCTCTGGCCTCTGTGGCCACCGCGGGTTTCACTTCTGTTTTGGGGGCAGAGAAGTCACATGAGGGCCTCCCCCCCTCCCAGGGGCTCAGCAGGGCTTGTTTACCCAACTGGGACCTGGGAAAAGCTGAACCTCCTCCAGCGAGAATCGCGGGGAGGGGGGTGTCCTGCCGGTTCCCCACCCCCACCCAGGTGTGGGTGTGGAGGGCTGTGGCAGCCCCGCTGGGTGTGGTGCTGGGTGGGGCCGCCTGCAGCCTGTTTGCCTGAGGGTGACAGGCCCCACCTGGTGCTGTCAGAGGGGGAGGGGGAGACTGAGGCACCACAGCATCGCCCCAGCCTCTGGCCCCGCCTCAGTGTCACAGCCGCAGGGCTCCGGGCCCACCGCCCCCCTCAGAGGCCACGCTGAGCCCCATGTGTGGATGGGGACAGGAGCCCATTGTGTGGCTGAGACACGGAGGCCGGTGGGCAGACAGACTGGGACTGAAACCACACCCTGAGCCAGCTGGTGGGGCTGGGGTGGCAGTGGGTGGGAGCCAGGTGACCCGGTGGGCGGGGCTGCTTGGACAGACAGGGGGCGACAGAGTGCAAGGCCATGCCCTGTTCCTCAGGTGGCACCCTGCTCCCCTGTGCCAGGGGGGGTTTAACCCTGAGCAGGAGGTGGGGGGATGCCCTCCCCACACGGGTGAGAGGAGGGCCTGGCTCTTGGGGTGGGAGGAGGGAGGTGGAGGAAGGCCATTGAGGCAGGAGGGGCCATGAGGGAAGCCGGTGGGGTGGGTCACAGAGGGGCTGGACCCCCTGAGCGGCCAGACTGCGGGCCTGGTTATCCACAGCCACGTGGTGTAGGTCGGCAAACTGCGGCTCGCTAGCTTTGGTTTGCCACTCTGTTGACTAATGAGTTTGCCAACCACTGCTAGGGGAAAACTCTTAAAAAACATTTTAATAATGTACTAATGTCTTTAACCTGAAGTCAAAACTTCTGGGTGAGCGGAATGCCTTACGCAGGGGCTGGCAAACTCATTAGTCAGCAGAGCCGCAGTTTGCAGGGGACGGGAGTGGGCTGGGGTCCAGAGGGTTAGAGCGAGGGGTGGGACGGGACGCCCCTTTTCTGGGCGGAAGCCCTGTGGGGAGTTGGCCCTGCACGTGTCAGCGCTCACACTGGCTGCCATATGTGGTCGAACGTGTAATGACGCCCCACACGCCTCCGTGGAGCCAGGCCACGCGATTTCTCGGCCTCATAGGCCCGCGGGCCGGGCTTCGCACCCTGGTTTAAGGGAAGGGGCACAGAGTGGTAAGCATGGGTCCCGAGAACAGCAGGACAGGCCTGGGTGGCCGAGGCCTCAGAGGCCCCGGCTCCAGCTGCCTGACTTGGGGCCCAGGGAGGACGCGGCCGGCCCCTCTGAGCTTCGGAAGTGGCTGGGTGGGGCCGCCTGCACCGTGCCCCCCTCCCCGCCCCCCACAAGCTCCCAGCAGCCCCCAAAGGCTGGGAGTGGGCTCAGCTGTCGGATTCCAGGGCGCTGCCCTAGGACAGCTGCTTCCCAGTGGCCGTCAGACTTCCCGAGGTGTCCCTTTTTCAGTCTGTGGGTGGGAGCTGGGTGCGGAGATCCTGGCCGGGAACCTGAGGCCCAGCCCCCGCCAGGCCAGCATTCCGTCCTCACCGCGGAGGGGCGGGCGCACGCAGGACCCGCATCTCACAGGCAGGACCGGGCAGAGGCCGCGCGGCCCGGACGTGTGACCAGCATCCGGCGCCCGGCTCCGCTGGGATCCGCTGAGACCAGCACGACCCCCATCGAGCCCACAGCGCTCAGACCCTCCGCCCACCGGGCCGCGGCCCTGCCCTGCCTGTCCGCCCGCCCGTCCGTCAGTCCCTGCAGGGCCTCAGTCGGAACCTGCCCAGGACGCTGCCTGCGGGAGGCTGCAGGGGAAAGGGCAGCTGCTGGGCCCGCTCTGTGGCTTCCCTTAGGGGGCTTGGCCTCTCTGAGCCTCAGTCTCCTCGTCTGAGAAGTGGGCAGCCAGTCCGTGCTGCTGGGAAGGCAGATGGGGCACCAGGAGCGTGGCAGCCCGGCCCGCCCTGTGTGTGACCAGCAGCGTGTCCAGCGGACCCCTGCTCACCAGTCACGCAGCCTGCCAGGTGGTGAACTTCAGCGTGCGGCCGTGGGAGGGACTCGGCGAAGTGCGGGGACATGGTCCTTGCAGAGAGGGAGGGAATCCGGAGGGCTTCCTGGAGGCGGTGGCTCCTGAGCTGGCTCCCGTCTGAAGGCTGCTGGCCTCTGAGACGGGAGGAGGCTGCCTGCAGGCAGGAAGGCAGTGGCTGCAGGCCCCGCGGGGCGGCTCCCGGACAGGCTTGGGGTGTGGGACGCCGGGAACCAGGAGGCGTCACCCCGAGGAGCCTCGGATGCAGCGCCCAGGCCTGTCTGCGCAGCGGGTGCCGGGCCGGGAACTGACTGGCAATGGGTGAGGGGAGACCGGTCCAGGGACCGAGGAGGGCCGGGCGGAAGGGAGAGGAGGGGCAGACAGCCAGCAGCAGCGGTGGGATGGGTGGGTTTGGAGGGGAAGGAGATGGATTTCACCAGGGACTTACACCCTGCCTCTCCGAGCCCGGCACAGGGCACAGGTGTGGGCACACGGGGCCCCGCGCTCGGCTTTGTAACAGCGGAGGAAGCAAGTGACTGACAAACCGCCTTCTGCTCAGAGACGCCCAGAGCGGCGGCCGCCTGGGGTCTGAGGGGAGCGGGGGGGGGGTGGAGGGGCCCAGGCAGCAGACAGCGCTGTGTGCAGCGCCCCCCCCAGGGCTGGTGCAGACCCGGGCCTGCCGCTGGGGAGGGGGCACCTGATGCCCAGGCTGAGAAGCCCGGGTGGGGAGGAGTGCACCGGGCTGGGAGGGCTCAGGAGCACGGGCAGGGAAGCAGAGTGGGGGTGCACAGGACCCTGGAGGGGTGACGGGCGGGGCCCGACGCACAGGGGAGGCTGGGGCACAGGATTGTGGGGTTGAGGTGGGAACTGAGGTTCGGGTGTGGACGGGGTCCCGCCGAGACAGCCCATCCCTGCTTCTGGGCGGCCTGCCTGTCCCCCGACCAACCGAGCAGGAAGGCTGCGGTGGAGACGGGCGGGAGGAGGGCCGGGAGGCCGGGGGTCCGGGAGGCTGGGGAGGGGAGGGTGCCCCTGGAGGCCGGGGGGTCCGGGAGGCCGGGGGAGGGGGGTCCGGGAGGCCGGGGGTCCGGGAGGCTGGGGAGGGGAGGGTGCCCCTGGAGGCCGGGGGTCCGGGAGGCCGGGGGAGGGGGGTCCGGGAGGCCGGGGAGGGGAGGGTGTCCCTGGAGGCCGGGGGGTCCGGGAGGCCGGGGGAGGGGGGTCCGGGAGGCCGGGGGTCCGGGAGGCTGGGGAGGGGAGGGTGCCCCTGGAGGCCGGGGGGTCCGGGAGGCCGGGGGAGGGGGGTACGGGAGGCCCGGGGGGTGCCCCTGGAGGCCGGGGGCTGGCCTGGGCACAGCTCCCCTCTCCCCTCCTGCAGCATCCACAACGGGGTGATCGCCGTCTTCCAGCGCAAGGGGCTTCCCGACCAGGAGCTCTTCAGCCTCAACGAAGGCGTCAGGTGAGTGCGCCCCCCGGGCCCGTCCACCAGCCTCACCCAGACTCCACCTGAGGCTGTGACAAGTGACACCATGGCCCTTGGCGCTGCTGCGCCCCCCCCCACACACACATCTGGTCAGGCTTAAGACAGCACCCGCATCCCTGCTGACGGTGACGGAGCGTCTGGTAGGGCGTTTATTCTGTGAGAGGCGGACTATGCCCGTGACGGGAGTGGATTCCTGGTCGCCCTGAGCGCCGGGGAGGAGCCCAGGACCGGCTCCCGGAACTGCGAGGCCAGGGGCTGCCATAGTGCTGGGTGTCGGTGGAGGTGCCCGAGCTCAGAGAGGTCGCAGACTTGCCCAGGGTCACACAGCCGCTACAGGGAGGCATGTGCTGCCCCTGTGTTCCCTTCCGCCTTTGAGCTCCAGGCGGGAGTGGACAGGCGGGGGTACCCCCACGAGCCAGGCCGGGAGGGAGGGCCGGGGAAGCCTGAGAGCAGGCCACATGTGACCATTCACCTTTTCTCAGGCTTCTCCGGCCAGCGGGGTGGGGGGGGGGGGGGGCAGGAGCCCCCGGGGTGCCGAAGGGGCCGTGCAGCCCTGGTCCTGATATGCCTCTGCTTGGGAGCAGGTTTGTCCAGGCCTGAGGGACCTGCTGTGTAAACAACAGAGCAGAGGAAATGCTTCTAAATTCCTGAGCAAACCATCCAGCATAGGCTGGCCTCCCGCAGTGTCTGCCCCCTCCCCTCTGCAGTGTCTGCCCCTCCCCCCCACAGTGCCTGCCCCCTCCCCTCGAAGGTCTGCCCCCTCCCCCGCACAGTGCCTGCCCCCTCCCCCCCCGCAGTGCCTGCCCCTCCCCCCTCCTCGCAGTGTCCTGCCCCCTCCCCCCCACAGTGCCTGATCCCTCCCCCCCTCCCTCCGCAGTGTCTGCCCCCCTCCCCCCTCCCCGCAGTGTCTGCCCCCTCCCCGCAGTGCCTGCCCCTCCCCCCCGCAGTGCCTGCCCCCTCCCCCCCTCCGCAGTGTCTGCCCCCCGCAGTGCCTGCCCCCTCCCCTCCGCAGTGTCTGCCCCCCTCCCCTCCAGTGTCTGCCCCCCCGCAGTGCCTGCCCCCTCCCCCCCGCAGTGCCTGCCCCCTCCCCCCCTGCAGTGCCTGCCCCCTCCCCCCCGCAGTGCCTGCCCCCTCCCCCCCTCCGCAGTGTCTGCCCCCTCCCCCCGCAGTGCCTGCCCCCTCCCCCCCGCAGTGCCTGCCCCCTCCCCCCCTCTGCAGTGCCTGCCCCCTCCCCCCGCAGTGCCTGCCCCCTCCCCTCCGCAGCATAAACCAGACCACGTGCCTCGTCACCAGCCCTCGGGGGCTGGATGGAGCAGGGGCCGCTCTGGGGTGTGTGTCTGGGTGGGGGACGCAGAGATGGACGCCTGGGCCCCAGCACCCCCTGGCCAGCCCCGTGATCCTTACCCGAGAAGCAGGGAGAGGTCAGGGGAGGGGCCCGCTAGGCTGTTTGGGGCAACTTCTTCTCTTTTCTAGACAAAGACAATCTTTTTATTTACCACAGCATTGCCATACTTAGTTCAGTACGTCTTTTTAAAAATATATATATTTTACTGATTTCAGAGAAGAAGGGAGAAGGGGAGAGAAATAGAAGCATCAGTGATGAGAAAGAGCCATCGATCGGCTGCCTCCCGCACGCCCACCCTGGGTACCGAGCCCTCAACCCGGGCATGTGCCCTTGACCTCCTGGTTCATAGGTCGACACTCCACCTCCGAGTCGCGCCAGTCTGGGCGGCCCGTTTAGCCAGTTCGAAGCGAAGTGCGGGACTGTCAGGTCAGCAGGGCCTTCCTTTTTTTGAGAGTTGGCTCTGGGCCAGCCGCCTGCCCCACTTTCCATGCCTCACATTGCACAGCCTGAGGAACGGGCACCTTATCACCCCATTTCACAGGTGAGGAAACTGAGGCACAGAGGTCGGGGGTCGCTCAAGGTCAGAGGACTAGTCACTGGGGCCGGGACTTAGGCCCCCGACTCCAGGGCCTGTGGGTCCTTCCGGACGGCCCCAGCTCCTCCCCATCCTGTGCACCTTAAGTTAGTGAATTAATTGGCATCGAATCCGTGGTTGGCCATTGGCTTCGATCCCACGAGAGCCCGTGATGAGCCATCCAGCGCCCCCGTAGCCGAGTGTCCCCCTCGGTTCTTGAAGCTCCTGTTTGAGGTCAGGCTGTGCTGCTCCTGGGCCAGGATCGGGGTCCCAGGGGCAGACCGCTGCCACTGAGCAGTCTCTGACCCCTCTTCCTCACTGTCTGCCCCCTCTCCCCGCAGGCAGCTGCTGAAGACAGAGCTGGGGTCCTTCTTCACCGAGTACCTGCAGGTGGGTGGTCCCGCTCCCCAGGTGGGTGGTCCCGCTCCCCAGGTGGGTGGTCCCCTGGCCAAGTGGGAGGTCCCACTCTCTGGCCCAGCTGGGGTTGCTTCCTGAGCCTGCCGGAAAGGACAGGCGCCTCAGTGGGTACATGGAGCACTAGGTATCAGTCATGACTCAGTTTCCCCATCTGCCACCACTGGCGGTTGTGAATGTTCAGTAATAAACTCGGGAGGTGCTAGCATGGTGCCCACCTCCTCCTGGACCGTCACCTCGGGCCCGGCGTGCGTGCTGGGTCGCCGCACAGCCCCGGTCCCTGAGCCGCGGTATTTGATCATGTCGCCAAGGCCCCCCTGGCCCAGGCGCTGCCCCTCGGGGCCCTCCTGGCCCCCGTCTGGGCAGCGGGCCCGCAGAGCCGCTGACACGCGGGACCAGCCGGGTCACACGGCTCTGTCCAGGCGTGACCCACGCGCCGGCTGCCACGCGGGGTTCTCAGTGCAGTCACAGCCCTGTGGCCTTCTCCACGGTCAGTTCCAGATTGTTCCCTCAGCCCTAGAGACACCTCAGTTTACCATCAGCCCCACGCCCCTCTCCTCCCCTCACACCCCATTTCATGGCGGGGGCGGGGGGGTCTCACACCTGGCCTCTGTCTGCTTCCTTCGCTGAGCACAGCAGGTCCTGCCGTGGCAGGTGGGGGCGCCTCGTTCCCTTTACAGCCGAGGACCACCCCATTGTCTGCACCCGCTTGTCCCCTTACCCATGGGTGGGCATGGGGCACCTGTTGGCCGGGTTAATGGAGCTGAGACCTGGCGCGGCCGGGACCCCTGTGGGTGAGCCCCCATGGCGGCCCTGCGTGCTCCAGCGCCCCCCCCCCCCGGCTGTGGGGGTGCAGGCCGCCTGCCTGCCGGCTCTCGGAGGCTCCAGGCGCCCCCGTCTCTGGGGTTGTCCCTGCGGCCCCCTCCTGTCCCGTGAGGACCCCTGGTTGAGTCAGCGGGCGGTGTCCTCCCAGGGCGAGCCGAGGGTCGGGCTCTGGCCAGTAGGAGGCGGGATGTCGGGGAGCCCCTCCCGCTGGGCCCAGGTTGCCCCCGGGAAGCCCGGGCACCCCCAGGCGGTGACGGCGTCTCCGTGTGCCTTCCAGAACCAGCTGCTGACGAAGGGCATGGTCATCCTGCGCGACAAGATCCGCTTCTATGAGGGTGAGTGCCGGCCAGCGTGAGCTGAGCCCGCCGCCAGCCGGCGTGGCTGTGTCTCCGTGGCTCCTCGGGGAGGCGGCACAGCAGGTGCCATGGGGCCTGGGCCTCCAGGGCTCTGGGGGGACAGGCCTCCTGGTCGGGAGGGCTCAGAGGGACAGAAACGATGGTCCGGGAAGCAGGCTGAGGCCCGACCCCAGGAGGGACCCCACTGCCGGGAGCCTCTGCCCCCAGGAGGCCCTGCCTCACCCAGCCCGCAGCAGCCGGCCCCGCGGCTCTTTGGGCCTGAGGGAAGGTGGCCTGAAGAGGTCGCTGACGCCCGGGGAGCAGCTGGGGGGGCGGGGCGCTCCCTGCCGGGCATGCTGGGAGTGTTCTCTCTAAGGCCACACCCACCCGGGGGCCTCTGGGTCCCGGCTCCCATTGCCCAGCTCAGGAACAGTGCGGTGATGGCAGGCGGCCCACCCTCTCCTCCAGGCCCTGAGTCTCAGCGGGGTGGGGGTGTGCCCGGTCCCACCCCCTCAGGCTCCCAGTGTCTGCAGGCCCCGGGCCACCGCCGAAGGGGGGCCTCCTTAGGGAGGGTCAGGGGACGCGAGAGCCGGCTCAGCCGATACACCTCTGCGAGCGCCCTCTGCGTCCAGGCCGGTGCTGGGGTCAGTTCTGTGAGTGTTTGCTGAGCACCTACTATGCACGGGGCACAGAGCACATGCTTGCTCTGTAGACACTTTCCTGACTCTAACCCACCAGGTCCCCCAGCAGCCTGTGCAGGAGGTACCATTGTTGTAGCCCCTGAACAGAGGGGAAACTGAGTCACGGTGGGGTTCGGGGGCGCCCAGGCCACATGGCCACGGCTCCAGCCACACTCTTCTCTCTGCTGCTCCAGACGCCTCCTCGAGCCCTCACTCTGACCGGGGAGAGAAGGGGTGTCGCTCCATTTAGCAGAGGAGCAGACTGAGGCCTGGCAGCTCTGAATGAACTCCGAGCTGCATCCCCGTTCCTTCCACAACCCCCGCCCTTCCCTCACCCCGGGCATGGCGGGTGGGAGCTGCGGAGGCTGGAGCCGGGAAGGGGCACACGGACCTCAGCTGTGGGGCCGGGGGTTCGGGCCAGCTTCCCAGAGGAGGTGCTGGAAGCCCGCAGGCCGGGCAGGGAGGGTTTGGCACCTGGCGGAGACGCCCGCCCACGCCCCTCTCCTGACTCGGCGCATTCCGGCACATTCCCCGTGGCCGCCTCCCACCGGCGCCAGCCCGGGGAGTGGGCTCGCCGGAGAAGGGGAGCTTTGTGTGGCTGGTGGAGGCCTGCCCACAGCGCCGTGTCCACCAGGCCACGGGCAAGGAGTGCCCGCCCCGTCCACCCCCCGGCCTCGGGGACAGGCCCGGGGCCGTTCTCCAGCCGCAGAGGCAGCCTGTCCTCTGGCTCCGTCCCCGTCTCAGACTCTGGGGTCCGTCATCCTCCATCCACACGCTCAGCACGTGCCAGCCCGGTGGCCTTGGGGACCTGGGGCCGGAGGAGACCGGCCTCACAGCCACGGGGACACCAGGTGGTGGAAGTCCGTGTGCTGCGCGTCAGGGGGAAGGGATTGGTTTCGCTGGCAATCCAGGAGGCCTGCATGGAGGCGGTGGCCCTTGAGTAGAGTCTCGGAAAATAGTCTGTTCCAGACGCCTGGCCCCCTTCGGCCCTGCAAAGGTAACAGTCACCGGCCTGCCACCCCGAGAACAGCCTGGAGAGCCTCCCGCCCGGTTTGGGTCCCAGGGAGAGTTCTTCCCAGGGACGGCTGCCTGCACCCAGCCATGTCCCCACGGGGGCTCTGCTGGACCGGGTGGCCGCCCCCGGGACGGCCCCGGACCCCCACCACGGCTCCTGTCTGCGCCTCCACGAATGCCGTGGACGTGGGCTCCCAAGTAGAGCGATTCCTGCAAATGAGAAGCCTGGAGGCCAGCCCGGAGGTGGAGGCTCCTCCCGGGACCCGTCCCAGGCTGTGGGCGGGTGGTCTCAGCACGAGGGCTGCTGGGAGGGAGTGGACTCCAGCCGCAGCCAGGATGGCCCCCTCAGCAGCCAGCCCGTGGTCGTCGCAGTCCCTGGGGACTCCGGAGCCGGGCTGAGACCCGAGCCCAGAGCCCGCCTCGGCACTTGGCAAAGGAAGGCTGACTGCCCCCTGGGGCCCCAGCCGCTGCCGTGGCCCCGCTCAGCGTCACAGTGGTGAAGCCACACTCCCCGCGCACCTGATCTCAGCCCGCACGGGGACAGTCACTGCCCCCATTTTACAGAGAAACACGCCGAGGCTCGGTGCCGGGCTCCCCTGGGCCCACAGCAGAGCCCAGCTCAGTGCTGCCTGACCGTCCCCCCCGGCCTCGGTCCCAGCGGAGATCCGGGCCTCGGCCAGCGTGCGGTCCGCCGGGCCTGGGCTCCGTGCGGCAGCGTCTGCTTCCCCTGCCTCTCCCTCCGGGCGGAGATGTCCTGAGCCCGCGGACGCTGGCCGGGCCCACGCCCAGAGCACCCCGCGGCCGGCGATGGCGGGACCTGAAGGGACCTTTGTGCTCAGGCAGACCTGCTGGGGCCGCAGCACCCGCCTGTCCCACCGCACACCCACGTGGGCCGGGGCGGACGGGAGCTGGCTGCTGGGCAGAGAGGCCGGCACCACCCACCAGGCTGCCTGGGCCTCCCTGGGTGGCCCAGCCAGGCCCCCTCCCGGGACCCCCCAGCCAGGCCCCCTCCCGGGACCCCCAGCCAGGCCCCCTCCCAGCCCAGCACCCACAGGCCTTTCCGGACGGAGGGCATGGGGCCCAGAGCACAAGGAAGTGAGACTCGTTCCCATGGAAACCTCAGTGGTCAGGCAGGAGCAGTGCAGTCTGGAAGGCCTCCCGCGGGGGCCACTGGCCCCTCCTTGCCCAGAGATGCCCACCACGCTCCTGCTGGTGCCTCGTGGGCTTGCAGGTGGGGCCGGCTCCTCCTGCCGGGCAGCCTCTCGTCCGAACTCTGGTCTTCCCAGCGGGCGGGCTGAGGTCTGCACTGGCATTTCCTGGGGGTCCCGGGCCAGCGTGGGGCCCTCGGCTGCCCCGTCCCCCAGGTTTGGCACCCTCCCCTGGGCACAGCACCCTCCCCCTCAGGGCTGGCCGGACCACCTGCTTCCCGCACACCCACTTCGCTGGCTCCCACCCACGGGTGCCGGTCAGTACGGCAAACACCCTAACTCAGCCCGGCTCACCGGCTCTCCTCTCCTCCGGGGCGTGTTGCTGTGGCTGGAAATGGTCTCCCTGGCTCCCAGAGTCCCCTCAGGCACCCTGGGGTGTCGGGGACCCAGGCCCTTGAGAAAGACCTTGAACCTCGGAGGCTTTCCCTTCCCTCGTCCAGCGCAGTGGCCCCGTGCCATCGTCCTCCTATCGGCTGTCCAGCCCCTGCTTCCCGGTCCGGGGAGGGGGGGCGGGTTGTTAGGTTCCCAGGGCAGGGTCTGGCCGTGTGGACGTCCTGTAGACATCTGTCCGGTGGACAGACGGGTGGGTGAGCAGAGGGAGGGGAGGGGAGTCAGGTGGGCGGGTGGGTTCCTCAGCTCCTTGGCAGGGCGGTTAGTGAATGAGATGAGACAAGACATGAGCAGAAGCTCCCGTTGGGGGGCGGGAGAGGGGGTGCACTTGTGTGCGTCTGGCCCCTGAGGGTCCGGTGTGGGCAGGACCGGGGACCACAGCGAGCACACGCCAGCACTCGCTCTGCGCCAGGCCCTGTGGAGCTCGTTTCGTTCATCTTAGTGGGGAAACTGAGGCCCAGGAAGGTTCGCGTGGGCCCCAGGCCAGCCTAAGCGCCGCCCCTGCGGGCGGGAGACGCGTCCGGCCCGGGAGGGTGTGGTTCTGCCGCCGTTCGGGAGGGACGGGCGGTGGTGACGGCCCCTGTGCCCACAGGACAGAAGCTGCTGGACTCGCTGGCCGAGACGTGGGACTTCTTCTTCAGCGACGTGCTGCCCACGCTGCAGGCCATCTTCTACCCCGTGCAGGTGCACCCCGGGCCCGGCCCCCAGGCCGCCGTGACCCCCCGGCCGGGGAGGGGCGCCCCTGCCCGCGCGGCCGTTCCAGGCTGCCTCCGGCCCCTCAAACCTGCCTCCCACCCACAGGGTGGACCTAAGGCGGTTCCTTCGAAGGGCCCTGCAAAGCCTGAGCGGCGCGCAGTAGGCCGTGCCCAGCGCGCAGTGGGGGCTCCGGGTGGGACAGGCCAGTGGTCGCTGCCCGGTGTCTGGGCGCCCGTGACCGGCGGCGTGCTGTCCGCAGGGCAAGGAGCCGTCGGTGCGCCAGCTGGCCCTGCTGCACTTCCGCGACGCCATCACGCTCAGCGTGAAGCTGGAGGACGCGCTGGCCCGTGCCCACGCCCGGGTGCCCCCCGCCATCGTGCAGATGCTGCTGGTGCTCCAGGTGGGCGCACGCCGGGCCCGGGCAGGCCCCGGAGGCAGAGCCGAGACGAGGGCCTGGGCCCACAGGAGTCACAGCAGGGGCCGTCGGGAAGAGCCTGGGGCGGGCGTGAAGAGGGCAGACTCGCAGCTGGCACACTAGGGGTGGGACGGCGCGCTGGGCAGAGCCCGGGTTCCAGGAAGGTCGGCCTCAGCCTGGTCCCCTGGGTGCCCAGGAGCGTGACCGGGACCAGCCGCCTCCCCCACACCCCACAGGCCCCGACAGCTCTGGGGGGAGGCTTCACCGAGGGGACAGCTCTGGGGGGGAGGCTTCACCGAGGGGACAGCTGGGGGGGGTAGAGAGCAGCTGTGAGGGGGCAGCCACACTCCTAGCAGCCGGGGTGAATGCCCTGCCCAGGACAGGGTCTGAGGGCCCCCAGCAGCCTCCACTGCAGGCTGGGCCTTTGGGCTCCACCCGGGCCCTGTATGGGCCGGCAGCCAGCCCTGTGCGGGCTCCGCTCCCTGTCCCAGGCCCGAGGCGGCACCGGCAGGGAAACCGCGTCCCCGCCAGGAGCCACGTGCTTGCAGCTGACAGGCCAGCAGCCCGGCACCGGAGTCCGTCCTGCTCCGAGGCGCTCAGTGTGGACGCCCTGCACGGGGGATCCTGGTCAGGCAGGATCAGTGCGGGTGGGCCTGCGGCCAGGGCAGCCGGGGAGCCCAGAGCAGCGTGGCCGGTGGCTGTGGAGGCGGCACAGCTGGGAGCTGAGGGTTAGGGTTGGGGTTAGGCACAGCCGGGAGCTGAGGTGGCCTGGCGGCTCCGGGGCAGCAGGCCGGCCAAGCAGGGGTCCCGGGGGTGTCCAGTCAAACCTGGCCGGGCTGAAGCTGGAGGCCTTGTCTCGCAAGCCGCCCGTTGGCAGGCAGGTTCAGTGATATCAGGGAGAAATCGATGTGAAGCCCCCAGCATGCCCCTGGGGAGCGGGCGCCACTCGGCTGGGATTTAGAGCCAAGGAGTAAGGTCCCGACGCCGGGATCCCAGGAGCCCCGTCCTGCAGGTGGTGCTGCCCTGGTCCTCCAGACTGCCCCTCCTGCGCCTGTGGGTGCCTCCCCAGCCACAAGGCTCTGCTCTGCCCCCCCCCTCCCCCGCGTGGCCCACACTTGGCATGACCTTGTCCCAGTGAACCTGTCCCCACTGATCTAAAGTTCCAGATGCCTCTGGAGTCACAGCTGCTGGGCAGCATGTGTGGAGGGCCTACTGTGCGCCCTGTGCTTCGCCCACAGGGACACGGTTCCTACTAACGGGCAGGGAGTGAGGCCGGGCGGGGGGTGAGGCCGGGCGGGGAGGGGGGGTGAAAAAAAATTATATATATATATATATATATATATATATATATATATATATATATATACATAGATATATAGATATATAGATATATAGATATATAGATATGTTTTTGTTGATTTCAGAGGGGAAAGGAAGAGAGAGAAACATCAATGATGGTAGAGAATCAATTGGCTGCCTCCTGCACGCCCCCACTGGGGACTGAGCCTGCAGCCCAGGCCTGTGCCCTTGGCAGGAATCGCACCCAAGACCCTTCAGTCCACAGGCTGATGCTCTATCCACTGAGCCAAACCAGCCAGGGCTGGGAGGGGGTCTTGATGGGCATGAGGGGAGGGCAGGGCGCTGGAGGTGGCTTTGGGGGGAGGGGAGGGCGTTGGGGGAGGGCAGGTGCTGGAGGTGGCTGTGTGGGTGACCTCCCCTCTCACAGGGCGTGCACGAGGCCCGCGGCGTGACCAAGGACTACCTGCGCCTGGAGACGCTGGTGCAGAAGGTGGTGTCGCCCTACCTGGGCACCTACGGCCTCTGCTCCGGCGAGGGCTCCTTCACACACTCCTGCGTCCTCGGTAGGTCCCGGCCCTGGGCGTGTGCCAGGCCTGTCGCTCTGAGGCGGTCCCCTGGGGTCCCTCCTTCACGGTCCCTCCGACACCGCGGGGATGTCGTCCTTTGCCCCGAGGAGTCAGGACGTTGCCGGGCAGAGTGGACAGCACGTGGCCGAGCCCCAGAAACCGGGCTCACCTGGGGAGGCCCCGGGAGGAGTGGGGTGGAGCCGCTGGCGTCCCGGGCTGCCTGGCGTGTCCGCAGAAACAGCCATTGCTCCTTTAATGGCAGCCCACCGTTCACTCACCAATGGAAACTGCACCTACTGTGCGCCTGGGCCTGGGCCTGGGCCTGGGGGGTCAGTCGAGACCACGCCCCACCCTCGGCTCCCTCCGCCAGGAGAGGCAGACCACGGAGTGCATGGTCCCCAGATGAGTGCCAGGAGGACCTGGCTGCGGGCAGGGAGCTCCAGGGAGCCCAGCCTTGGCCGTGGCTGCGGCCGAAGTGCCCGGAGGAGCCCGGCCTGGGGGGAGGGGGAGGGGGAACACCCCGGCCCCAGCGAGGGGACAGCAGTGCAGGACCGTCCTCGTCCTGTGCCCCCCCCCTCCCTCACACCGGGCACGTCTCCGCCCCGGGACCCTGGCGGCTGGAGGGGACTCTGAGGTGCCTCTGAGCCACTCCGCACACTCAGCCCTGCCACCTGGTGGCACTCTGCGGAACTGCGGGTCCTGAGTGGGAGTGGAGACCTGCTCCTGGGCAGTCACCCCGGGTCCTCCCCGCCCCCCGGGCTCCTGGGATCGGAATAAACCCCAGCGCTGACCTCACGCTGAAGGGCCCCTCGCTGCTTGCCCCAAAGTGGCACCTACCCTCTCCTACCGCCACCCCCGCCCAGACCCTCCCACGCCCACACACACAAGACTGCAGCTCTGAGGACGGTCTGAGCTGCCCAGGAGATTTCTTGGCTTTGCCCGGGGCTGGGGGTAGACACCGGCCAGTCTTAGCCCCCAGCCCCCCTGCCTGAGCAGCCCCCACGCCCACGCCCCACCGAGACCTGCCGCTCCAGAGGCCACCTCGGGGGAGACGGGAGGTGGGAGCCCCGTGACCTCATGTAACCTTAGAGACCCACCTCCCCGCGGCGGGCAGGGCTTCGAGAGGAACCGGGGGACAGTTCACCCCGTGGCATCGGGTGGGCGACGGGCCCAGTTCTCATCGCTCTTCCCGCCCCGGCCTCTGCGCCCGGCTGGCCACTCCGTCCCCAGTCCGCACTCCCGGGCGGGGCCGCGGATCTGGCCGGAGGGAGGGCCTGGGACACCCTGTCCCCCTCCCCGGCCCCGAGCTGACGCCCGCCTGTCCGTCCGTCCGTCCGCCCGCAGAGAAGCACCTGCTGCGCCGTTCCCGCTCGGGCGACGTCCTGGCCAAGACCCCGGTGGTGCGCTCCAAGAGCTACAACACGCCGCTGCTGAACCCCGTGGCCGAGCACGAGGCAGAGGGCGCGGCGGGCGCGGGCGTGCGCCGGCACTCCGTCTCCGAGCTGCCCTCCTGCCCGGACGCGCCCGGCCCCGGCCCCGGCCCCGCGGGGGACCGCGCGCCCTCCCCGGGCACCCAGTCCGGGCCCTGCCCCAGCAGACTGCACCCCCCGCCTCGGCCCCCCGGGCCCGGGCCCGCCCGCGGCTCCCCGGCCTCCAGCCCCGAGCACCTGGTGGACCGCGTCCTGGAGTCCGCGGACTCGGACAGCGAGGGCATCTTCATCGACTTCGGCCGGCGCGGCGGGGCGGACGGCGTGGCGTTCGAGGGGGACCACGGCCGGCAGAGCTTCGTGTGAGGGCCGCGCGTTTTTTACTGAGCCCGTGTGCCGTGTGCGCGTGTGTGTGTGTGTGCGTGAGAGAGAGAGAGGTTTTTACTCTGTCCCAGCCGGTCCCCGGTCAGCCCGGCCACAGCAGCATCTCCCTCTTTGGTGGAAAACCATCGCTGCTCCCCCTCTCCCCGGCCCAGTGCCCCTGTCCTGGGTGTCCGCACCCCGGCTCACCTGCCTCCTGCGGTCACAGGTGCACGGGCCAGCCTTGCGTGCTGGGTGGGCATCATCACTCACTCCGCCCAGCACGCCACGCCCACACCCACGGAGACTGTGACTCAGGCCGCGTGACCAGGCCCCGGAACGGCCCTCGGACCCACCTGCCACCCCCTCCCCGTGGCACACCCCGTGTCCGGACCCTGGGCGCCGCCTGCCCTCACTGGCCGTGGGCAGGACAGGACGGGGGAGGAATAAAACGTGTCAGCCCAGCTCGCGCTGGAGTCGGCTCCCTCGCACAGGGACACTAATCCTGGCCATCAGGCCCCACCCTCGTGACTTCACCTCCGGATGCAACTCCACGGAGTGACGGCTTCAGAAGGAATTGGGGGACACAGTCACTCCAGGGCACTCTGGTGGGTGACGGGCCCATCTGTCAGCCAGCGAGGCCCCCAGGCCAGTTCGGAAGCCAAGGGTCACCGAGGAGCAGGAGCCAGGTCCCTGGAGCCTCCTACCCACATCCCCACACTCCCACCGGAGAGCTGGCATCTAGGAAAACACCGGGGCCTCCTGAGCTTCCCTGACTGCACCTCCAAGTTTACATTTGTCTGGGGTATACATGTGCACCCCAAAATGCCCTTGGGCCAGGTTGTCCTGGAGCACCCACTGCACTCCGCTGGTTCACTCCAGGAGGCTTTGGAGGGGCTGCCGGGCGGGCTGTGGCCCAGGAACCCCTGTGGGGGGAGAGGAGGATCCCCACCGGCTGGGGAGGACTCGAGGAGAAAGGCCAGGCAGTAGGTGTGACTTGGTGATTTTCCACTGGCCACGAAAGTGACATTGGACTGTAATTAGGAAGGCTGAATGTGCCCCCAGCGAGCGGAGGCGGGGGCTCGGGGTCCTTGCCCACCGTGTTCGGAGCACCTCCCGGGAGAGCCGGAAGGGGTGGCAGCCCAGGCGTCTGCGGGCAGGGGACGGGTGAGCAGTGTGTGTCCGTCCACTCAGTGCAATGACTGGGCCTTAAAAGGCAGAGATCCATCCCAGCCTGTGTGGCTCAGCGGCTGAGCATCGACCTATGAACCAGGAGGTCACAGTTCATTCCCGGTCAGGGCACAGGCCCGAGTTTCAGGCTCCATCCCCAGTGGAGGGTGCACAGGAGGCAGCTGGTCGACCGTTCTCTCTCATGGATGTCTCTCTCCCTCTGCCTTCCTCTCTGAAATCAATAAAAATATATTTTTAAAAAGTTAGATCCAAACCATTCGCACAGCCTGTGAGAGGCAGGGGCTGTGCTCTGCAATCCATGTGAACAACAAATGCAGTGGCTGGGGGGGGGGGGGGGGGGGGGGGGATGGGAAACCTGGAGGGGACCCCGCCTGTGACAGCAGCAAGGCAGCCCTGACCTGCGGGGTCTCCGGTCCTGGCCCCCAGGACGGGGGGCCTGGTCTGCCGGTCCCCGGGGCGGGGGGGCCTGGTCTGCCGGCCCCCGGGGCGGGGGGACCTGGTCGGTCTGCCGGCCCCCAGGGCGGGGGGACCTGGTCTGCCGGCCCCCGGGGCGGGGGGACCTGGTCTGCGGGCCCCCAGGACGGGGGGGACCTGGTCTGCCGGCCGCCTGGGCGCACGCCGCTGTCCCCGCACTGGGCCGGGACACGTTGCTCTCGGGGTAACGGTTCCAGGCAGCACCGCCCGGGCGCACGCTGCTGTCCCTGCACTGGGCCCGGACACGTTGCTCTCGGGGTAACGGTTCCAGGCAGCACCGCCCGGGCGCACGCTGCTGTCCCTGCACTGGGCCCGGACACGTTGCTCTCGGGGTAACGGTTCCAGGCAGCACCGCCCGGGCGCACACCGCTGTCCCCGCACTGGGCCCGGACATGTTGCTCTCGGGGTAACGGTTCCAGGCAGCACCGCCCGGGCTCAGGCAGCGGCAGGACATTCCTCTGGGAGAAAACAAGAGCCAAGTCCCGGCCGGGGCCTGCGTCCCCTCCCTCCAGCCCCGCCGCCGCCATGCGTGCGGAGTCGGCTGCTTGGGGAGCACTGCGCTCCGGCTTCCTAACCACGGCGAGAGCAAATGTGATAAAGCTGGACCGTCGCGCCGCTCGGCACGCCCTCCGCTCCATCCTTCTGTCCGGAGCATTGGGAGTGCAGGGCGTGACTGCTGCGGCCACAGAGGGGAAGGGGGCACTGGGCTGGGGGCACGGACAATGGGGCGGGGGCAGCCGCCTGGACTCCCCGCGCCTGCTCTCTCTCTCCCCTCCGACTGTGAACGGGCCGGCACGCATTCCCGCGCCCACAGCCACTGTGTGCGCTGCTTTACTGGGTGTGTGACGGCCGCTGGGCTGTGCTGAGCTGAGCTGTGTGGGGATTGTGTGAGCTTTGCACAGACACAGGCGAGGAGAGTGCACCCCTGCGGGGCGGGGGCACCCCGGAAAAACAGCGCCGCCGGCCGGACAGGGTGCTCTCTCTCGCTCCCGTGCAAAGTGCTTTTTAAAACGGACCCGCCCCTCGGCCCTCTTTCTGAGAGGGGTCTCCCATGGGTGGTTCCGCAGAGAGAGAGAGGTCTGCATTCCAGACGGGAAGGAGAAGCCACATGGAGCTCCAGGCGAAGCCCAGCAAATGGGTGCTGGGAGGAGGTCTGACCTAGCGCCCCACCCCTCGCCTCCGCCCCGCACCCCCAGCGGCTCCGTGGTTGAGTGTGGGCCTACGAACCAGGAGATCGCGGTTCGATTCTGGGTCAACATGCCCAGACGGTGGGTAGCCAATCAATGTTTTCTCTTACCACTGACATTTCTCTCTCCCTGTCCCTTCCACTCTGAAATTAATAAAAGCATATATATATATTTGTAAAAATATATATATATATTATTGATTTTTTACAGAGAGGAAGGGAGAGCGATAGAGAGCTAGAAACATCAATGGGAGAGAAACATTGATCAGCTGCCTCTTGCACACCCCCTACTGGAAATGTGCCCGCAACCAACCAACGTACATGCCCTTGACCGGAATCAAACCTGGGACCTTTCAGTCCGCAGGCCGACGCTCTATCCACTGAGCCAAACCGGTTTCGGCATCATCATTGATGTTTCTATCTCTCTGCCTCTCCCATCTCTGAGATCGATAAAAAATAAAAGGTATAAAGATATTTTATCATGTGGCACCTTGCAAGAAATAGCTCAAACTAGATTAAACAAAAAAGAATTCATTGGCACACTCAATGTGGAGTCCACAGACAGAGCAAGCCACCTCTGCGTCACCCTAAGCCTGGATCTCTGCGTCACAGGATGCCAGCCGGGTGTCTCTGGTGCCCCACTGGACTGGGGAGGGGAGGGGAGGGGAGGGGAGGGGAGGGAGGGGAGGGGAGGAAACAGGTCCCTCCCCCCGCCCTCCAGGCCAAACCCAGCAGCTCTCACACCGCCTGGCCTGGGCTGGAAGGACACCTGGTGACCGGCCTAGGCTCGGGCTGAGGGCTCGGCAAATGCTCCCAATTGTAGATGCCCCGGGACACCCCACTGTCCAGCCCTGGATGAGCTACTGCTTCCTCTCAGCGCCTGGCAAACCCCACCCTTCCCCGCGGTGCGCACCCGCCCACCCTCCACCCCGGGGGCAGGGCGCCGGCCGGGCAAGGGCCACTCCCGCCGGTGCCACCCTCCGCCCTCCCCGCCGGTGCCCGGCTGCTGCGCCCTCCCCTCCCCTCCCCGCCCACAAGGCGGAGCCCCGGCCCCCTGACCCAGCGGCCCCGGGGGCGGGGGGGCGGGGACGGGGAGGGCGGACCGGGCCCAGGTGCGGCGGCGGCAGGTGAGCCGGGCGGGGAGTGCTCTGTGCCCGGCGGGGGCGCCGCTGGCTCCGGGGGCGGTCGGGCTCCGGGCTCCGGGGGGCGGTCGGGCTCCGGGGGGCGGGCTCCGGGGGGCGGTCCGGTCTGGCTCCGGGGGGCGGGCTCCGGGGTGCGGTCGGGCTCCGGGCTCCGGGGTGCGGTCGGGCTCCGGGCTCCGGGGGGCGGGCTCGGGGGGCAGGCCCATGCGGGTCGGGGCCCAGACGGTGCTGCGGGTCCCTCCCGCCTCCGCCGCCCTCCCTTCCGGTTTACCGGGTCCGGCCGCCCACTCCGCCCGCACTCCGCCCCCCTCCCCTGACCGGGCCTCTGACCGGGGCCCCCGGGGCCGCACACTCACCGGCGCCCCCCGGCGGGGAGCACGGGGAGGGGAGGCGGCCCGACCCAGGGTGCTGCCCGCTCCGCAGGGGACGGAGCCCACAGTAAGCCCCCAGCGCACCAGCCCTGCTTTCCCTCTGCTCCCGCCCTGGGTGGGGGAGCCCTGGGGGTCCTGCAGCCCCTGGCGGGGCACCTCCCTGCCCCGGGGCTCCCCCCGCCGCCCCCGGGCACCCCCCGCCCCGGGGCCCCCTCCGCCCTAGGGCACCACCCTTCCCCGGGCACCCCCCCCAGCCCCGGGCTCCCCCCCCCCCCGGGCACCCCCTCCCTCCCCCAGGCACCCCCCACCCTGGGCCCCCCCTACCCTGGGCAACCCCCCCGCCCCCGGTTCCCCCCCACCCTGGACCCCCCCTACCCCGGAGCTTTCCCCCCCCCCCCCCGCTTTGGGGCTCCCCCCTCCCACCCCCCCTGCGGTGCGGGAGGGGGACACGGACCCTCCAGGAGGCGGCCAGCTGGAGGAGGGGCTCCCGCGCTGCTTGTCTGCCCGTGGGGGTTTCGGGGGTGAGGGGGTGGGGAGGTGTGTGGGGGGGGAGTTGTGGGGGCCGTGGGGGGGACAGGGCCGCAGACGTGGGGGTGTGGACTGCAGAGAGGCTGTGCGCAGGCGGAGGTGGGTCCGGGTGAGAAGAGCTCAGTCTTCAGACTCAGCAGTCAGGTCTGGATGTCTCCGGCGGCAGTTTTAGGTCCTGTGTGTGAGTTCCTCCTGGATGTGGGACAAACCATTCCTCAGACCGGCAGGGGGCGGAGAGGGACCCAGGGCGCTGACCGGAGCCGGCCGGCCCACAGGGACCCAGCGTCTGCTCCCGGTGACAGAGAAGCCAGGCCCTGAGTGGCCAGGGAGGGCTTCCCCAAGGCGGCGGCCGCCGAGGCGGAAGAAGGACAGGAGCGAGGCAGTGAGACGGGGAGGGTATGGCGCTGTGGGTCACACGTGGATGGAGGTAACTCACCTGTAAGGGTGGAGACGCCTGTGGAGGAGCTGACAGGAGCTGGTGGCAGCTGATGGGAAACTCCCTCATCGTCCCGATCTGACCTCACTGGGACCTTTGAGGGTCTGGGAACCGACTGGTCCCGTGGACGTGTGGCATCTCCCCCACAAGCCGCGTCCGTGTGGCTCTTGGCTTCGGTTAGAGAAGGCAGCCAGAGCCCAGCCGTCCCGGAAGGGCCCAGTGCACGATCTCACCACGTTCAAAACGCCATCCCGTTCCCTGACTGCACCCTTTCACTCACGGGGAAACTGAGGCACGGGGCAGCAGGAGGAGTCAGTGTGTGAGCAGGTGAACGTGGGCCTGCTGGCCGCCTCCCCAGGGTGGTCCCCGGCGCCCGGCTGTCAGCCCTCACGGCGTGCGTGGTGGCCTCCCCCTCCCTCGCCACAGCCTCGGGAGGCAGGGGCAGTTACTGTCCCCTTTCACAGGTGGGGAGACTGAGGCAGGGAGGCCTCCGTGACTGTCCGAGGCCCCAGGGCCGCTGTGTGGCCGCAGCGCCCGCACCTTCCCCGTGGGCTCTGCCTCTCCCCGGTGGGCACTCTCCGAGCCCCAGGAAGATGTGTCACAGGTGCCCAGGCCCGGCACTGGGGGTGGGGACAGCCTCAAAGATGCTCCTGTGTGGGGCTCTGCCAGTGGCACACCGGCCCCAGTCCGGCCCCAGAGACCTTCCTGTGTGGCTCCTGGACTCTGGCAGCCGGTCTGGGCCCCGCCCAGGTGTCTGGGCCGCTGGAAGGCAGGGGACCAGCCGAGGAATCTCCCCAAGTCCCTTCTCGCCCGTGTACTCCCCTCTCGCTTGGCATCATGAGCGGCAGGCTGCCCTGCAGCTCACAGGGAATAACGCCCACGTGAGTGGTTTACAGCTGGCTCTGTGACCTTGTGTTGCTAGCCCTTCTGTGCCTTGATTTCCCTACCTGTAAAATATGGACAGTCTTAATCTCTACTAATAACCTGTACAATAAAAGAGTG